CGGAAATAGTTTTGTATGGATAGTTTCAGCCTTGGGGAAATTTTCGTGTAAGCATATGACTCCTAGTTTAATACGTCCTGAATATTTTATATTGTTTTAAGTAGTATGACGATATTTTGTTTCCTATAGCTATTTTACGTCAGGAATTGATCATTACGAATAGTCGATCATCGAATCTTGTAAACATGCATCTTCAACAGGTTGTGGACCCGAACATGCCAACAATTTTCGTGGTCACGCCGACATATACCCGGCTAACACAGCGTGCGGATATAACGCGATTCGTCAATACAATAAAGCACGTATGTAAAAAGGCTTGACTCGAATTGCCCCGTTTGATGCGCACTTTGATATTGAAAGCGGGTGCACATCCGCATTTATTGTTATCTTGATCGGTGGCTGCATTTATGGGCTCACTGATGGTCATTATAGCCTAATTCGGCTACGCTGACACTGCATGCAGTTGTATTGAGATGATTGCTTTCCGAAAAAAGTTCAAATTTGCACAATGTATTTGAGAAAATTGCGAAGGAAGAACTTGAATTGACCGATTTATCAGTACAAACACGCAAGCATGCTGCCATATAAAAATACCAATCTATTAATAAACAACAGGTAGAGAAGATGCACTGGATCGTGATTGAAGACAGTGAACATCCCACTGAAGCCGTGCGTGAACTGATGGCAGAGAGTGGTATACCAGGGACGCAACTCTACACGAAGACGCCGGAAAATTCAGAGAAGAAAGATGGCATGGAACGATTTCAGGTACTATGGCTTCGTGCACACTCCAAGGACTTGTTTATCTGTGACAACACCTTATTTTTCTCGCTTTAGAAGTATTTTCATGAGCAATGAGAATCTAATTCTAAATATTCATGTACTCGATATATTGCTTGCATTTATCATTGATACCAGTATCATCGTGGCGTAGACCAGCGAAACTTGGCCTTGAACAAAATAGCTGCTATGGGTGACAAGAATGCGATTGTATATTTTGCCGACGATGATAACACGTACAGTTTAGAAGTGTTCGACGAAATGCGAAAAACTGAACGAGTATCTGTCTGGCCCGTAGCATTTGTCGGTGGGCAAAAGTACGAACGGCCGATCGTTGTCGATGGGAAGGTACAGTGTTCGTGATATGTTGTGTTACTAATGTAAATTTTTAGAGTTTTGTAGCAGAATTTAAAACCGCCAGCAATATCGACTTTTAGGGCGCAGGAGTCTATGATTACCATATGATCCCACTGCCCTTAAATATATATATTACCATAATGCGTATAACCGGTGGTAGTGCAAGCTATTGCCTCTCCCCTAAACAAATTTGTGACTCAGATGCCGCACAGAGATACGTGTTTATGTCGACCTTCCGCTTGACCAGTATTGTAACATTTGCGGCTATCAGGAACTAGAATATATAAAAAGTGGCTAGTAATAAGTCGTTCAACGACGAACGGCTAAGATCCTTACTTGCGTATTGTAGCAATTGATGCCTGGAAATCTAGACAACAAGATTAGCGAATTTGGTTTAAATATACCACATTCGACATCATAAACGCTGATTCACGTGTCTGCGAACATATTGCTACTGACAACATTCTTTGATAAGAGAGTAGGATTTTTTGTCGTGATGACCTCTCGAGCTCTCAATTCGCATCTCATTATGTATTTGACTGCTTTCGCAATGTGACCAGGTGAAGAAGTGGCATGTCTCATGGCATCCGGAAAGAACCTACCCCACAGATATGGCTTCCTTTGCCTTCCACTCGTCTTTGTTACACACGGGGAGGTATGCAAAATTAGTTTCTATTATTCAAGTCCTAATTATACTATTTCGTACCCCTTGTAGTATTTTATTTGCACATTTATATGAGCCATTAAAATTGGCTGGACACGGCTCACGTTTACGATCATATATAGTTCTATTCCCTTGTACTTGATTGCCACCTTGTGGCTAATGAAAGGCTGATTCCTGTCACACAGAGTTCCGCAGTTCTCACACGAATGGCGACAAGGGTTTCTCGAGTCGGGGTTCCTCGAACAATTGTTAGATAGTCCAGAGGACCTCGAGCCTCGGGGAGGTGAGTGGTGATTAGATGCGTTGTAACTAGTTAGATTGAGTTTACAAGTGAGTTTTTATCTAATTTGACATATGGTGGGTGGCTGCAGCACAGAAATAACATAGTGAAGAAGCTCTCAGGTCTACAATCTCTTCCCTGTTTGTGTTTTTAAGCATGAACGAACAAAAAAATTGATACCTACATATAGACAGAAGCAAAAAATCAATTTCACAATTTGTTTCGCACGCGCCGCTTACGCAACCCGCTTCACAAAGGTCCAAATCGTTGTAATTTTAGCCATAGATACGCCTGTGCAATGTAGTATTTAGTCCTTGCACAAACATTATTAAATTCGACGACACTGAATTTTTATGCTTGTTCACACAGACAACTGCACTAAGATCCTCGTTTGGCACACTCGCACGATGGATGTGAATATCAAAAGGGAGGCCAAACTGAGGGCAGAGCCTTTTATCAAGGTATAGATTTTTCGCTGCCTCCATTTGGTAGTGGAAGATGGATATGTGCCGCAAGGGTGTAACATTGTATACACATAAACACAACTAATAGTAGTTGACATAACCAATAGAGTGAAGGAGGATGGAAAGGTTAGATTCTGTAATAAATAAAGCATTTGCATAACCTCCTTCACTCCATAATATTTGAGCATAAATATAAAATCTCTTGTATTTACGTACATCATGTACATCGTGTGATATTGCTGCATGCCTTAAATGTTCATTTTAAAAAAGAGGCTATGCCTAAAACCCAAAAAAAAGGGCCAAAAAAACCCCCTTAGATATTGACACAAAAACCCTAGAAAATGATTCGTTATCCGTTTGCAAAAGCGAGGGAAACCGGAAAGTTCTCCAAGAAGGCGGCGAAATACTCAATTCTGTACTTCGATCAAACAGCATCTAAATACAGTACTACGACTAAACAATACGAGATGGCTCACTACATATAGACACAGTGCACTTGCTGTGTTTTTCAGCACATAGATTTGTAGCAAATACAAACCACATATTATAACTATTTGCATCCAAAGCTTGCAACCACCATAATGGCTACGGCTAATGAAAACATGCCCCCTGCGGTGGTACAACGTGTTGTGAAAGACGTGCGTAAGCTGTTGAAAACTGAGTTGGAAGGAATCAGACTAGATATAAACGAAGACGATGTAACTGATATTCGTGCTACCATCGCAGGACCTAAAGACACACCTTATGAGGGGGGTTTCTTTCGGCTTAAGCTAATACTCAATAGCGAGTTTCCTACTTCGCCTCCCAAAGGCTACTTCACCACAACAATATTTCATCCAAACGTAGCCAAGAACGGCGAAATCTGCGTGAGCACGTTGAAAAAAGACTGGAAACCCAGTTTGGGCCTTGACCACGTGTTATTGACTGTGAAATGTCTTCTAATAGTGCCTAATCCCGAGAGTGCGTTAAATGAGGAGGCTGGAAAGTTATTATTAGAAGACTACGAAGAGTATTGCAAGCGAGCAAGACTTATGACTGATATCTATGCTAAACCCAAGGATGCCAAGAGTGCTGGCGCTGGCGACGGTGCAGTCGAAAACATTGGCGCTTATGCACCGGAGAAACTAAAGAAGAAGGTCACTAAGACAAAGTCGAAGGCACTCAAGCGATTGTAAATGCCGTTGTAAATGCCTTGTTGTCCCGAAATGGGGGGACCTTTCTGTTTTCTGAGGATCGTTTCCTAAAAAGTCGATTGTGAACTGTCATCCGCGCGATCCGAAGATTTTAGCGCATCAAAGTATTAAGTCAGTCTCGCTTAATTGCTTTGTCATACTCTGATGGCGAGGAAGGAATATAAAAAGGCGTGGGGTGCGGTAATGCTCGAAGTTTTGCGGAAGGGTGTACCTGATCGCGCAAATAATCTCCAGATGTGCCACCAACTGACGTGTCTGTTAGGTGTGGCTGAAGCAGATGGGGCAATCGTATATTCTTCACGCTTAAAGGCGCGCGTGAGCTAATCAAAGCTCTCAAGAATATTGAGACTTATGTTATTTTTGTCTTCTTGGCCTCTTTTGAGTTGAAATAGGCCTTCGTCGCACAGAATTACACATGTGACTGGCTTTGTGATCATTTTTAAAAGATATCCACTGCTTCCCAGCAGCCAGATTCAAGTGGTCTTCCGCCAATTTGGCCTTGGAGAGCTTAATATCACCAGAATAATCTCGATAAGAATAAGGGTGAGGCATGGTCTATTGCCTGCTGGTTGGGAACTTGGAACGGCGTGCGCTATGAGTTAAACTCGCCTCTGCTGGGCCTATTATGAATAAAGAAGTTATTTGGTTGAGTTCTTGCTTTCAGACACTCATTAACATTCCGTCTATTCATTGTCAACTTTCTTGCTTTCAGACACTCATTAACAGTGCTTTCAGACACTCATTAACATTCTGTCTATTCATTGTCAATTTAATAACCAAGGAGTATTATTCTCGTCATATACATACTGTACTTAATTGGGGCAAATCCCCCGGATTAATCAGGCGGAATATGTTGCGCTAATAGTGCTAATAGTACTGCTCTATAAATACTCCATAACTAAATATATGGTCTTAACACAGCAAGGTTTGATTAATAGTTCACCCGAAATGCCTATAAAATGACCACAAAACAATAGTTCTGGGTATTACGAATGCATATTTGTGATTATAGCTTTATGTATGTAGAAGTTTCACAGCAGGTTTGTTAATCAATACGAAGTTAAAAACTTCGTTTATGATACGCGATGGTTATTGTCATATCAATGAGCTTGATTTATTAACATTGGATAAGGAGCCCATGTTACATATAGAGCTCGGCGTTTATGCCTACTGCAATTTCGTATTGAGCGAAGTATACATACGTATTGTAATTACATATTGAGCTCAGTATCTATACGTACTGCGATTACATATTAGGGACGACAGCTATTTATCTGTCAAGACTGTATAGCAAATAAGTTTATCTCAACACGAGTACACGACGCTTTATGTTAATAAATACACAGTTCTACATGTCTTTGAATTCCACTCATCAAATTATATAGGGTTCTTAAGAAGCAATCGATGTGTTGAATTTATCAATGTACATATATTCGGTGTACATGATACATGTAAATTGTTGCTCGTTATCCTTTATACGGTATGCATGATATATGTAAAATACATCGTAAAATGTTGCTCGTTAGCCTTTATACGGTGTACATGATCTATGTAAAATACTCGTAAAATGTTGCTCGTTTTCCTTTCGTGCATTCCAATACTTAACATTCGAAAGAAACATACGGTTGTATGTTTATAAAATGTTGCTCATTTTCCTTTCAAGCATTCCATATTTCCCATTCAAAGAGATATACGATTGTTGTTTTGAACATTAGACATACGTATCTTCACGCCACCAATGGTGAACAAATGGCAAAATCCATAGGTATGTTTTACATATATATATATATATATATATATATATATATATATATATATATATATATATATATATATATATATATATATATATATATATATATATATATATAT